GCGCAGGCCCCCTAGTCAATCTGGCAGCCCAAGTCAATCTGGTACCTACACCGGTCACAGTTTGACCTCCTCTGAGGTTCTGTCCACTAACTGATCCAACCAGGCTGGCGGGGCCAAACATGTCCGGTCTGAAGAACTCAGGGGCCACAACCTGTTGATGCTTCATCATTTGTTCCAGTCTTACCTGTTCAACAGCGAAGCAATGATATTTCTACAGAAAAGGAGCCGGAGGTCATCGTACCTTCAGCACCACGTTGGCACAGAGGGAGGGGCTAACGGCTTCAGGAAGTAGGGCCCCCCCACCGCTGATGGTCAGCTGGGTCTGAGCCCCCTCTGCCGACTGCAGGACGACTGACTCCACATCCACAGGAACCACCTGGAGCGACACAGAAGTCCAACATGTCCGCCTGACTCTGAGGCCCCGCCTCCTTCACGTCACACACGTTTATCACCAAATTCAACTTCAGATAAAGGCTTCAGACATTGCTTCTGTCTGATTAGACCCTAAACTCTAACATCCTGCAGCAGCTGCTGTTTTAGAGCTAGCAGATGTTCTCCTGGTCTTACAGGTCAGAACCATCAGTTCAAAGGGAAAGAATCCACAACATGATATAAAATCAATATCAGTAAACACACTGCAGCGTTCTGCTGTCTGAATAAAAGCTAAAAGAGTAGAAAAGATTTAGAACGTTACTCACCGCTGCAGCGGCGTCCTTCCCCTGTAAAACAAACATGTAGTTTATCATCCAACGCCTCTGATTGATTGGTGGAGACATTCAGAGGTTCACGCTGCTACTTCCAACAGGCAAAACATTATGACCACAATGGCTGAGGAACGGATAGTTAGAAGAAATGGGGGTGGTTAATGACCTGTGCAGACCTGGGGCTCTGCACAGGTCAGTAACCTCTGACCTGTGCAGAGCAGGAAGCTCCTCAGAGCTGCAGTTCTGATATCCAGCATCAGGATTCCTCTGAGCTCTGCGACCCAAACGTCACACCGTAGACAGCAGAGGAAGTGAAGCCGCTTCATGTGAAGCCATCAGAGACAGAAATCGACCTCGAGGCAGAAGGAAGTTTCACAAAGCAGAACTTGTGAAACTTCTTCTGCTGTGACCACAACTACTGCATGAGTTTGAACCCAGAGGACGGCAAGTTCAGAAAGTCTGAGGAAGGACTCACAGCAAGCAGCTGGATGGATGAGTAGGTGTCCATCCTGAGGGCCTCCTGTGAGCCACAGGCAGTACCTGGGGTCAACCGCTGGGAACATCGGCTGCTTCGGTCCTGCAGGAACCCTGAGGACAGAACCAGACAGGCCTTTTCTCATCATCCATGCAGATAAATGGAAACCAGCAGAACTTCCTCTGACCAGATTTTCCCCTGAGCTCTGCTCTGTGGAACAGTTCAGACTTCTAGCAGCAGGTACATTTGAGGCTCCTGCTAACGTTGCCATCCATCCAACCATCCATCTTCTTCAGCTTATCCGGGGTCGGGTCGGGTCGTGGGGGTAGCAGCTTCAGTAGGGAGCCCCAGACGTCCCTCTCCCCAGCCACTTGGTCCAGCTCCTCCGGGGGAATCCCAAGGCGCTCCCAGGCCAGCAAAGAAACATAGTCCCTCCAGTGTGTCCTGGGTCTCCCCCTCGGCCTCCTCCTGGTGGGACGTGCCTGGAACACCTCACCAGGGAGACGTCCAGGAGGCATCCTAATCAGATGCCCGCGCCACCTCAACTGGCTCCTCTCCATGTGGAGGAGCAGCGGCTCTACTCTGAGTCCTCCCCTAATGACTGAGCTCCTCATCCTTTCTCTAAGGGAGAGCCCAGACACACTACGGAGAAAACTCATTTCAGCCGCTTGTATTTGGGATCTCATTTTTTCGGTCATGACCCAGAGTTCATGACCATAGATGAGAATAAAATGTAAATCAACCAGTAAATTAAGAGCTTTGCCTTTTGGCTCAGCTCTCAGACCGGTACAGTACACACTTCACAGCAGACGCTGCACCAGTCGGCCTGTCGATCATTTGTCAACAAGACCCCAAGTTACTTAAACTCATCCACTAGGGGCAGCACATCCTCTACTAGGGGCAGCACATCCTCTACTAGGGGCAGCACATCATCTACTAGGGGCAGCACTTGGTCTCTGATTTGGAGGCACTGATCTTTATCCCGGCCGCTTCACACTCGGCTGCGAACCGCTCCAGTGAGAGCTGTAGATCACGCCCTCATGAAGCCAACAGAACCACATCATCTGAGAATAACAGAGAGGCAATCCTAAGGCCACCAAGGCAGATCCCCTCAACACCTTGGCTTTGCCTAGAAATTCTGTCCATAAAAGTTATGAACAGAATCTGTGACAGAGAGCAACCTTGGCGGAGTCCAACCCTCACCGGAAACACGTCCGACTTACTGCCAGCAATGCGGACCAGACTCTGACACCGGTCATACAGAGACCTAACAGCCCCTATTAAAGGGCCGGTACTCCATACTCCCAGAGCACCCCCCACAGGACAGAGGCAGCTAACGTTGCTAATGTTGCCAAATGTTGCTAATGTTTGCGTCTGTGGTTTGCCTCTAGCTCTGCTGTCAGAGATGTGCCTCAGCAATGAGGAGATAACCTGAATGGTTTTATGGAGGCTAGATGAGGAGAAGAAGAGTTTAAAGGTTTATTCCTCTGTCATCTGGGGGATGTGTGACATAAAAAGGCAGTGAAGCACGTTGATGTTTCTGGATGATAGAATATGGAGATGTTCAGCGGGTGAAGATTAACTCACACCTATCTCTGAAACAAACTAATACAGACTTCTTAAAAGTAGCTGTTTGCTTTCATCTAATCAGTACATGGGCAGAACATCCAGAACCTTGCAGAGCTTCAGAGTAGAAACACTCTGCTCTATGGGCTGTAGGTGGGTTTGCTGTTACCTGCAGGACTCTTCACACAGTCAGCAGTGAGACCAGGAGCTGGAAGGTAGAACATCCCTCTGAGTCCGTTTGGTTTTGCTGTAGCCAAAACATCCCCGAACTGAAAAGAAAGCATCAGTACATCAACCAGTCCTCCACAGACTCTCAGGTAAATCATGAAGGAGCCACTATATGAGCTTTGTGCCCCCACACTAACGGTCACACCTCATCTGAAGGTCAGGAGATCTAGAACCCAAACGGATTGTTGTGTCCAGAGGTCTATCAACTTT